GTTCTTTAATTAGGTTTGTAACTACCGATGTTGTCAGTCCAATAGAAGGGCCGGGTTCAAAAAGTATTTAGTTGGCTGCCTATTTGGCCAGTGAATCAGCAAGACATTTACCTTTCGATGTGGTGTGACCTTTGATCCCTCTTAAGTTGGCCACATTGTTGATGGATACTTCGGCCTCAGCTTCGTGGCATTCTAGTACTAATCCTAGGTAAATTCGTGCTCTGTCTAGTGTGAGTAGTGCTTGTCTCCTATTTGTATAGATGAGCATGTTTCTTCCAGTAATATTATTTCTGGGGATTTATTTTGCTGTTATGAGAATTCCCGTGATCTTGGTTTGAGCTCTATATTGACCTTGCAGTTCTGCTTTTACAAAGTCTGAATTATTGAATATTTTGGTCCAAACGACTTATGTAAACTTGAGACACTAGTACCGGAAACTTTCTGACCTGCCACCTTTATGCCAATTCGTTGCACTTTAACGAGAGGTGTTAGACTTGTAAGGGGGTTTTCTCGCCACAGAGAAAACGATTCCTTACGAATGACGCTGGTTACGGGCGGTTCTCGAGCGCCAGATTTTTGGTGATGGTTTACTCTACGAACTTTCAAAACGGTGTCGAAAGTACTCGAGTAGCTACAGATGGAGATGAAAAATTCCAGGGGTCAAAGGTCACTTAGACACAGGTAATAACAGACCACAAGTAACGGGCTTTAATTGTTGCTTGGACTGGTACAGAATTTATCACTAGCTGAAATATAAGGGGGAAATAAATTAAGGAATTAACAACCAGTAATATGGTAAATTAACATTGACACATATATTGTTTTGAGCTATTTACAATATGAAAAAATATATATGAATGTATTTCAACGCCCACCCTCATGGTAATATGTACAAACCCTAAACAAAAATTAACAAACAAAACGGCCAGAAATGACTTCCGAGTAGTCTCAATTAGACGTAAAAAAAAAATGAAATCAATACTTGTAGTAATCACGGTCGCAGCAAAAGTTTATTATTGAACTATCTATTCGGTTGTTGAGCTAAAAATATAACTTGCTATTTCGTTCGGAAATATTAATTCGGTCGTAGCAAAAATTAACTGTTAAATTGTCTAATCGGTATTTACAATCAAATGTAATTGAATGCTTCGGCAAATCAAAATATCATATGTGGTTGCAGAGAATTCGAGGAGACAGGTTCGAGACAATACTAATTCTAGGGCTTAAACCGGGACTCTATAAGAGGTTTACTCAAACTAGTGGTTGGAAAGTAAAACCAACTAACAACCGGGATAGTACATTATCTCAGAATGAAGCGATCATAATCACGAGCCGCTTCAGACAGGGGAATGATACTATTTAAGTTCAATTAAAATAACGGAGTCTTACGTAAAATAAACTAATAACCGGGATAGCAAGTTACCTCTGAATGAAGTGATCGTAATCACGAGCCGCTTCAGACAGGGAAATGATACTATTTGAGTTCACTTACAATAACGGAGACTAACGCAAATGAGGGTTTCAGACGTAAAATAAACTAATAACCGGGATATCACATTATCTCTGAATAAAGTGATCGTACTCACGAGCCGCTTCAGACAGGGGAATGGTACTATTTTAGTTCTCTTCAAATAACGGAGACTTGCGCAAATAAATGTTTTAGAGGTAAAATAAACTAATAACCGGGGTAACACCTTATCTCTGGATGAAGTGATCGTAATCACGAGCTGCTTCAGACAGGGAATGATGCTATTTAAATTCTCTTAAAATTTGCGGTTCGGAGGATAAAACAAAAAAAAATGTCTAGTCACAACTCTACTAATATAACCAATCAAAACATTAGACAATTCCCAAACAGTTCCAACCAATTATTTATTGGATAATGTTTTTAATAAACTATATTATTTGTTCACGGAAATTTCCAGTAGTAGGAAAAATTAACTATACGAATATATTTAAGATCGAATGAAAAATAAATTATGTAACGGTTAAAACTTTAAATAAACTAAAACGAAATTTATTATTTATTCGCGGAAGTTTCCAGTAGTAGGAAAAATTAACTTTACGACTATATTTACGATCGAATGAAAAATAAATTATTTAACGGTTAAAACTTTAAATAAACTAAAATGAAATTTATTATTTATTCGTGGAAGTTTCCAGTTCTTAACTCAACTCAATATTGTTAAATAAAAATAAATCAAATTAAATCGGTTTTAATTAGCACGGCTTAAAGTCTCGGGCAAGAAAAAAAATTATAAAAACAATGACAACAATTTACCTATCGTCAAGATCGCGGCTAGAAATGACTTTCGGTTTATAGTGTATCGGAATCGTATCGTATCTAATTATTCGCCTATTCGATTTCACGGTGTAAAAGCAAGTGAAATTTTTAATTCATTCTCGGACCTCGTTCAGTCGTCGCATGCCCTTCCACATCAGAAAATCTCACCATTACCACGCGCGCACGTAGAGTATCTCGATGCTTTCGAACAGCGGCAATACGGATGATATACAGGGCATATCCACGAAGTTAAAATTAAGTAAAAATCGAAATTAATACCCGGAATTAGTTAAAAAAATAATAATAATGAAAATTGACTTCATTACAGACTTAAACCTTAAACACCAGTTAAAAGAAAGTAAAATGTTGACTTAGAACTTTATTTTATCTAAATTTTGCAAAATTGTAACTCAAACCCTTTATACCTGACTTCAAAGAATTATGAAAATAGAAAAATTATAGTATCGTGTTGTCATAAAAACCTGTATTTAAGGAGTGTAGGGGTAATAAGATTTACGAAGATATGCCTATACTCTTGACGATCAATGTCATTCGTATGCGACCGTAAAAAATTGGATTACAAGCTTCAAAAGAGGTGAATTTTCTATTGAAGAGGAGCAATCAGGAAAACCAGTTTCTATGTCCATCCCCGAAAATATCAATGCAATTTATGACACGATTTTATCAGACCGTCAAATATCTGAGGCTCTGAATATTTCGTACGAACACATCAATTTTAAAGTTCACGTCAAGTTGAGCATGAGAAAAATTTTTACAAAATGGATTCCCTAATGTCCTGAAGCAGTGTTTTTACCATGTATAAAACTAGGATATATTTCTACGACTCAGAAACAAAGCAGCGATCGATGGAATGGAGACCTTCTGGTTATCCAAGGCTTAAGAAGTTTTGTGTTTAAAAATCTGCTGGAAATGTTCTTGCTTCAGTTTTTTGGGATTTCCATCAAGTAATCATGATTAATTATCAGGACGTAAAAATCCGTCGAAAACTTAAGGTCGAAAAAAATCATGATTCCTATACTTTCCTTATATCTGTATACAGATAGGAAAGTAAAAATTATATTTTGATCTCAAATTTGAATATATTTTGGCCATTTTAGAAATTTCCCAATATATATTTTTTATTTAAATATGTAGAATTCCTATAATGAAAGCTAGGGTAGAACTCTGGTTATTAGGAGTTCTATAAATAATATGAAGGTTTGCTGCAGTGACTAGGTAGGTTTAATGTTATGTAAAAAGCATTTTTTTTTTGTAACATGGGATAGTTGAATTTCCCATTTTGGTAAAATCACTATGCCTTCTGCTTGGTAATTCTTAATTTTATTACTTCTGTGCTTTTTAGTACTTTTATTACTTTTTGGTACTTTTTAGTACTATTTAGTACTTTTTGTACTTTTTTGTACTTTTTTGTACTTTTTTGTACTTTTTTGTACTTTTTTGTACTTTTTTGTACTTTTTTGTACTTTTTTGTACTTTTTTGTACTTTTTTGTACTTTTTTGTACTTTTTTGTACTTATTTGTACTTTATTGTACTTTTTTGTACTTTTTTGTACTTTTTTGTACTTTTTTGTACTTTTTTGTACTTTTTTGTACTTTTTTGTACTTTTTTGTTTTTTTTTGTACTTTTTTGTACTTTTTTGTACTTTTTTGTACTTTTTTGTACTTTTTTGTACTTTTTTGTACTTTTTTGTACTTTTTTGTACTTTTTTGTACTTTTTTGTACTTTTTTGTACTTTTTTGTACTTTTTTGTACTTTTTTGTACTTTTTTGTACTTTTTTGTACTTTTTTGTACTTTTTTGTACTTTTTTGTACTTTTTTGTACTTTTTTGTACTTTTTTGTACTTTTTTGTACTTTTTTGTACTTTTTTGTACTTTTTTGTACTTTTTTGTACTTTTTTGTACTTTTTTGTACTTTTTTGTACTTTTTTGTACTTTTTTGTACTTTTTTGTACTTTTTTGTACTTTTTTGTACTTTTTTGTACTTTTTTGTACTTTTTTGTACTTTTTTGTACTTTTTTGTACTTTTTTGTACTTTTTTGTACTTTTTTGTACTTTTTTGTACTTTTTTGTACTTTTTTGTACTTTTTTGTACTTTTTTGTACTTTTTTGTACTTTTTTGTACTTTTTTGTACTTTTTTGTACTTTTTTGTACTTTTTACTACTTTTTACTACTTTTTACTACTTTTTACTACTTTTTACTACTTTTTACTACTTTTTACTACTTTTTACTACTTTTTACTACTTTTTACTACTTTTTACTACTTTTTACTACTTTTTACTACTTTTTACTACTTTTTACTACTTTTTACTACTTTTTACTACTTTTTACTACTTTTTACTACTTTTTACTACTTTTTACTACTTTTTACTACTTTTTACTACTTTTTACTACTTTTTACTAATTTTTACTACTTAGTATATATTGATACAGAAAATAATATAGTCGAATAAATAAACTATGATAAATATCTTACTTGAAACTATTGTACTTATCACCGCCTTTTGTAGAAAATGTAAAACCAAGTCCATAAATGTTGGCCTGAATAAAGATCCCTGCGTCTTTTCTCCAATTTGATAAGGCGCGGGAACCTAACTAAATAGTTTGGAAACATATTTTAATTTATACTAAAATTCGATTAATCGTAATTTACTTAAAGTAAATAAATTATATCCTAATATATCCTTATTTTTTAGGTACTACTACTTTATAGTTAAGATGTTATTATATCTAATAGCGACTGTAATAGCCGCAGCTACGTATTATTATATACAATGTATAACTTTTTGGAGGAGACAAGGTGTTCCACAAGGATCAATAAAATATACCATCGTAGAACTTATAAATTTCTTTTTACAGAAAAAACCGTTAGCGGAATCTATTCAGTTAAATTATAATATGTTTCCAGAAAGCAGGTAAATATACATTTTCATAATTGTCTAAATATATAATTTTTTAAAAGTATGCGTAGCAACGACGAAAAACTACTAGACTAATCCAATCATTCTTAATTAAATGTCTAATATGCTTGCTTTTTACTGCTATCACACTTAAAAATTAATTGTGTACTACTTTCTGATAAACAATATACAACAGTTTTAACGAGAAAAAGATATTAACCTGTTAATAACTGGCAATAAGACTGCAAATATACTTTCCTAATATAATTTTGAAAGCCTCTTGTGCGCTTTAGAGCCTTATGTTAAGTCAATACAAATATAACCATTGAGATAGAATAAAGGAGAGATGCCATTGACAGTGGCGGCTTGTGGTAATTTCAAATAGATGTTCACTTTTTCCAATAATTTTATAATTTGTAATTTCGGTTCAAAACTTTGTACAAGAGCCAATATTGCTCTTTTTTAATATTTGAGTTTGTGTTAAATGTAGTTATTATTATCAATATCATACTGTTTTCGAGCACTACAACTATTAATAAATGAATAAATGAACATTTTAGTTATTGTAATATTTTTTTGGTTTTTAATGCATTGAAAAAACCATCTATAAACATTATTAGTTAGTCAACTGACTTTTCTTCACATTTTGAGATTATTTTTAAATATCACATGATGTAGATTGTTGTACAAAAATATTATTATATAAAATTTCACTTACCATTTTTCAGTTTTTATTGTAAATTCAATCATTTTCACAATTTGTCACACATGTCAAATAAAAAAATATATTTTTTGAATACCTTTTATTGGCAAAAAAAACAAGTGAACTTTTATAAGATCAGTCCCATCACAATAGATAATATTACACAGATACAAACTAGAATAAAGATATTTAATGCGCGGTATTCTAAATTATACTCTTTACAGTTTAACAGAACCCCTTAACCCCCATTTTCAATCAGATTCTTTTCAGAATCAATAGACTTATCTCCTTGTAGACCTTCAAATTTCAAATTGATATTATTGTTTGTTTTTAAGTTGGATTTATTTTAAATATTTCAATCCCCTTAACCCCCACTTTTATTCAATTTTTTTTTACAATCAATAGGCCTGATTTCCTTATAGATAGAGCTTGATTTGTACTAAAAATTTCATAATTATATTGCTTTTCATTTTTAAATTGTTTTTTGTTTTAAATTCAACCCCCTCTAAAGCCCCCATTTTTAATCAGATTTATTTTTTTTAAATTAAACAGCTTCTTCTCCTTATAGAGCTTGATGTTTGACTAAAAATTTCAAGTTTTTGAGATAGGATTTGTTTTTATATATTTTAACTGCCCAATTTATTCAGACTTTTTTCTACTTATAGAGCTTCATTTTTACTAAATATTTTTGTTTTTAATTAAGGATGTTTTATAATTTCAACCCAACTTAACTCCCTATTTTTAATCAGATTTTTTCAAAATCAATAGGCTTTGTCCCCTTATAGAGCTTGTTTTTTGCTTAAAATTTTCAAATTGATATCAGTTTTTGTATATAATACTCTATAATACTCTTCACAGATTACTTTGTGAAGGGAAGAATAATAATATATTCAAGGCTAAAACAATTACATAGTAGCCTAAAAAATAGGTAGGTAGACTAAAAGAATGATAAAATCAATGTTTTAAAAATTATTTAATAGGTATATTAGTACCTCAGAGATAAACTGCGTTGTCATTCTAGTCAACTTTTTAGTAGATCAGACTAAATGTTGGTTGGAGACATTTGGTGTTCCATATTTACATATAATAATTATATTTCGGCCAGAAATGCAGTTAGTCCCAATTATTGTCACAATATGTATTGTTTACTAATAATCTACTTAATTAAACTTTTTTTATTACACATGAACTGTTGGTTTTTATAACATATTCCTATGTTCTGCTAACAAATTTTCTATAACAGTGTCATATACCTCCAAGATGCTTCTATAAATAGTACGATTAAAGGGAGATTTGAAAAGTGTTGTTTAACATTCAACTTGTAAGTTTATTGAACATTAAATATAGTTTTATCTCTTTTGTTAAGTCAACTTTTATTGTGACATCACTATACTGAAAAGGTCTAGATGAGCCGATTTTAAAAATATAACCTTTATAAAACTGCATTAGGTCGACACAGTTCAGTTTACCATCCAGATAGATATTGATAAATATTTAATTTAGTCTTTAGGATATAGCTGTGGCTTGGTCGAAAAAGGGCCTATCTAAGAAAATTAAGTTTTGAGATAATCAAGGATTTATATGAAAAAATAAAATACTTATTACTCAAATATTTTTGTTTAGAATTTAATAAATTTTTGCTACAGTATTCAAAAAAGTAATGTTATCCATAAGATATATATATTTTTTTAATAATTGCAAGAATTAATAAATTTTTGATTGTTAGGCCCCTGCATTTTTTAATTCATAAACATAAGCCCTAATTATGATAGTCACATGTAGCATTTAGGCCCAAAAAAATGGTACTTAGGCCTTATCATTAACAAGAACAGTACATAGGCCGTTTTTATTAAATAGAAACGTTGTAAAAAGTAAAATAAAACTTCAGTAGTATTAATAGAAATGATATTTAAGAAAAAAAAAACATGGTTTTATACTAGAAACATAAAATATTATTTTTATATTAAAAAATAATAACACAAAATCTGTTACTCGTCATATTCTACCGAACCTATCGGACAAACTTCGTCTTCTTCGTCTTCATTGTTTGATGATTTTAAATTCATATAAAAAAGTCGACTATTAGGATGTATGTAACATAACAGACTTTTGATATCGTCCAATTTCTTTTTTGGGAGAGGAAGGGGATAGGAGTTGTGTAAGTTTTCTAAGGTAGGCAATGCTTCAGCTAATAGTTGTCCTTTTTTCTTTTTTGTTATATCCCACACTTTAAATTCTTCTTCCAGAAAGCTTTGTTTGTAGAACATTTTTCCAGGACTATTCTTAGTGTATCTAAAATAGTTTGATTTTAGAAACAACATCTGTTCTCCATCGGCATTTTTCTTTCTGTTTATAAAATATGCTTTTTGAAGAGCACTTATATTAAAGAAATCATCCTGTGACATGTCAATTACTTTAATTCCACCTTTTCGATAGATACCTTTGACAAGTGTAGACCAGTCTCTGGGCATTTCTATGTCTATTGAAGTGTGTTTTTTGGCCTTTTCTATTGATGCGTGAATCGAATCTGCTTCGAGATGTGTATGTCCAGAGATTAGGAATTTATGATTAATTTCTTTTAGATTGTGACCTGGTGGAAAAAATTGAAATACCAAAGAAAGCATTGTTGAGACATAAATATTTTTGTTCTGGCCTGAGCAGCAGTCACTATATAAATTTAGAGTAGTTGTAGAAAAGGGCAAGTTCCTTATGTACTTCAAAAGACAAGATGCAATTTCTTGTCCACCACGACCTGATGTAGTTTCATCCCACATAAAACAAAAGGACTTGTTGTCAACATCATTTGAAACCTCATAGACAGTTAAATTAAAAACCCACAATTGTCTTTTATAAAATGCGATTCCACTTTGTAAGTGAGGAGTCGGTAAACACTTTTGTAAATCAAACATTGCAGTAATAACAGTGCCATCACTTTTGCTTTTTTCTTTATCTTTCCTCTTTTCTTTGTATGCGTTATCTGCTGCCTTTAAATGATCTTGTTTTTCCCTTTCGTAATTTATTCTGTCCCCTTCATCATTGGAAGCTTTAATCAAAATTTCTAATTTGTCACATTTGCCACATGTATCATTGTGAGGTGGATGGAATAATATGTTAAATTCTGTCACAAAAACCTTCCTATAAAAGTGTTCAGAAACAGGATTTTTTTCGATTTCTTTGCAGTACAGTATGTAAAGTCTATACATTTGTTGGATCGAAAGATCCGAAGATAAGTATCGTTTGTCAGAGTGTGACCTCGAATAATGGCTTCTGTAGGCTGGAAATTTTGATATATGTTGCATTACAATCTCTTTGTCTTCTTCTGCTATTTTAGGGTGATTTCCGTGCCTTCCTCTTTGGTCTGAACTACATAAACCGCTTCCACATCTACATTTCTCAACTGTGTACCTCAGTCGTTTAAATCCTACATTGAAGGTATTCAGGAACATTACTTTACACACTTGTACAGGCAATCCCCCTTTTTTTAACAGATAGCTACGAGTAAATGATCGTCTGCTTCCTTCATTTGGTTTATTACGTCGTAACTTTTTAAATTCGATTACTGATGTTGACAAAAATTGAGTTTGTTCGTTATACGTTAAACGATAAAAATAATTAAATAGGCTTATTCTTTCCTCATGACTGAACTTCTCGTAGCATTTTCTTCTGCATTTACATGGTGCTTTTAAGCTTCTGGCTTTGACGGTCTTACCCTGTTTTGACCTATATTCTTGGCCTTCAGCTCTTGCAACCTTTCTTTTATTAATTATCCAATTACGCTCATTTCTATTTCGTTTCCTAGACTTTCTTTTTTCCTTCGTCATTACTTCTTCTTCAAAATTACTTTCTTCTTCACTTTCTGCACTATAAGTATCATCAGAGTCAGTTGCAAATGGGTCGTTATTTTCCTCATTGCTGTCGTTATCCTTGTCCTAAAAAGTATACAAGTTATTGCTTAAATACAAACGAAACCTACGTATTGTACGTACATTTGCTGGATCCTCGGGAATTTCATCAGTACTATAAATGGTTATATCCGGCATATCCTTAGCATTAGTAATGAAACTAGTAGGAGTGGATTTCTAAAATAAATAACATTTTATTCTTATTTGCTGAAAGTAATGTGCAAAGAGCTAGTAAAAACTTAGCTTATGTTGTAAAGTTACTTTTTCTAAGTTCATTATAAAAAGTACATGTTTTTTTATCATTTTCTATGCATAAAGTGGGTCTTTATGAAAAGTATGAAAAAAAGTTCAAAAGTGTGAAAAAAAGTGCCATAACGTGTCATTATTTCACACTTTTTTTCATTCTAATTAATTCTAGTCGACTATGATTTACCTTTTGTTTCAACTGCGAACTGACAGATCGAATAAATATCACGTTAGAGGTAGTTATCGACGCCATTTTTAGTCCAACGAATTAATATTTTTTTAGTTTTTGCGTGAACTTAGAAAAAATATTGTATGAAACTCGTGCATAAAGCATCTTTTTTTTAAAGTATAGTAAAACTGGATCCGAAATGCTTTACACAAACTTTTGTGATTGCTCATTTTGATATTATTTAGCGCTTGGCAACAACAACTGTTAAGACTGTTATGCAAAAAGCAATTTCCAGATCTTGTTTTGCAATGTTCTGTTATTACTTGTTACTTTAGTAGAATGTACGAATGAATTTACCTGAATTTCATGATCCTCCCATATTATATCAGATTTTGTAACTTGATTTAAATGATTATAATTCTCCAATACATCTTGAACCATTTTCTGGGCACGTGACTGTCGAGATTTTTCATTTTGCAGAGACATTTTGCTACCTAAACAAAGCAGTTTTTCTTTTACCACACAAATCAGTTATTCTTTTATTTTACTACACAAATCAGTTATTCGCTTTCTACACAAAAAGTTTAGCATTAAACTTACCTAACTAGATAGTTCATCAGTTTTAAATCCACATTGAAATCTAATTTTGGACGAGAACACACAGACACTCTAACAGTCATAAAAGCTAAGTTTTGAGGTTATGTTATGTTTTCCGATCACATGTTTAAGGGTCTATGTTTTATTTAAACCGGAACGAAATCAGTGACTTTAAATTAACAAGGGCCTAAGTAGCAAATATACAAAATAATAAATGCATATATTTTACTTAGGCCTGGCTTAATTATTACATGTGAGAATAAAAAGGGCCCAAGTACATATAGACCCAATGTTTTAAAAATAATTTAACCTATGTTGCAGTTAGGCCTTTCAAGAAAAATTAAGAAAATTATTTAAAAGGCCTAAGAATACATAGGCCAACTTTTTCAGGCCTATTAATCACTTATGCCCATTCAACTTCTAAATTTTCACCAATTTAGTTAGATAAGACCAATTGAAATGGGCCCAAAATGAACATAGGTCTTTATAGTCATTAGAGTTTTTGCATTTAGGCCCTTTTTACATTCAAATTTTCGTAACTAGCAGCTTTATTTACTTAAGACTTTTTTCATTAAAAAGAACGTTGTTCACTTAGTTAGATACGCCTAACAACTCAATTTTTTAAAATTTGCACTTAGGCCCTTTTTCGACCAAGCCACAGAAGATACCTAACATAGACACAACTATTAAGTTTCTTGAATTAATTTAGGTCATTGCAATATTTATATTTATATAGTGTTTAAAAATGTAAGTTTATAAAATCCTCAGCGCTACATCAGTCTAACACTGTTTATCAGTACCTCTAGCATTCATAGATAGGGCATTTTTCGATAACTTCAAATTCACTAGGGACACCCTACAAAATACAAAATTATTCATATAAAATTATATAAGTCAAGAAATTATCTTTGTTTAAGGGTTGATCTTTTCACCTCTGAGTAAAGTTACATGTAGGTTAACTATATATTAACAAACAGTAATAGCCCTATAGTTTAATCAGCAAGTAGTTACTGTCAACTTTACTCAGAGGTGACAAGACTGGCCCTCGATAAAATATACAATAAAATTGTCATACTTTGTTGAAACTTCGTTTGTTTTTTGTTGGAAACAAAAAAAAATCTATAGACCCTGGAACAAAAAACAAAATATAAGTTACAACCGTAATTTGGCAGTAAACAAACATAACTTCAAAAATATTAGTAATTTTTTTACCTGAGACGTTTTTCGTTGAATTGATACACATACTTTAAATTTATTAAAGTCGCAGTTTTATTTAAACCTAATTTTTAATAATACAATACACAATTTAAATTTTCTCATGTTGATTTTAAGAATTTGACAGCTTCATTAGAGATTGAAGGTAGATAATGAAGTATGTAGACATGACATAAACACTATTTTGTGATATGACAAGGGGAGGCACTTTTAGTGATATTTTGATTAATTTTAATAATATCATGTTTAAAGATTGACAGAATGAAAATGTTTTATATCATTTAAATCACGCAATTTAAAAAAATGGCATTATTATCACCAAAACTGACTAGTTCGAGTTTAACATATGTCGTAAAAGGGTAAAAAAAAGTGCAGACACTTTAAGTACTATCATTGCATCTCTATATTCTATATCTATGATTTAAAAGATTCGTATGCAACACTCTACTTTGTGACGTCAATGTGTGCGTTGCGCAAAATAAAAAGATTTTATTGATTTTAATAGCTTTCGGGAAAGCATCTCTCTCCCGCAGACTCGAAAAAGTCAGCCAAATATAAAATTATTAAAACTGAATTTATATTTTTTGAAAATGATGTGTTTTTATGAAATGTAAGGGTGATCACTGCAAAGATGAACCAATGGACAAACCGCATCTAGGTACTGACGATGCTAAATTGTCCACACCTTTGCATTACATATTTACGTCAACGTAAAACTCGAGATCATCTATTTTTTTTAAATAGCTTCATATAAATGATATAAAATCATTTTTATTCGGTCAGTCTTCCAATATAAAATTATTGACTTTAATTAATCAGAGTACTACTCAAGTCGCCATTTTCATTACACTTTTCCGTCACTTGAAGTTCGTCCATTTGTCATATCGTAAAATAGTGTTTTTCTACACGCGTATTATAATAATGCACTTATATGCCCATAATCCGTTTCATACCCATTATGATACAGATTTTTCATTATGATACAGATTTTTAATCAATAGAAACCTACAATTTTTCAATCAAGCATGATGTTTGACAATTGTCCTAAATTCCTATGTAATTGTTTTAGTTGTCAAAACGTATTAAATTTTCGTAGATAGCTAAACTTCGATAATTATAATATTAAAATGTCTGATATCAGCGATATAGAACACTCCTCCACACATATAGGAGAAAGGAGAAAATGCAGTACAAAATATTTTGCCCCAAAAATCTGTGGTAATACCAGTACCCAAGGTAATACCATTAATTACAATTTTGTAGAATTTTTTATAGAAATACGAGTAATTACTGTTATTGTGTTCAATACCAATATAAATAGAATATTTATAGGTCTTGATTATTTATCGGGTGTAGAAAAAATAGCGTATGCAACTCTCATGTAATGGTTATTAAAACACTCGCATAAACCATACGAAACTCGCCTTTGGCTCGTTTCGTATCCCGGTTAATGCTCGTGTATTAATAACCATCATTACATGATCGTTGCATAATATACTATTATGTCGTCTCAACTTTATTTTACCTCGATGATTATAACCATAAATAATACTCTCTTTTATGTTTTCTAATAAAACAGGAAACAAAAACTTCATATGTATCAGTTTGAAACTCAAATTAAAAACGTCTACAATAGTTAGATAAGACAATGCAACTAGAACAAAAATACAATAATTAACCACTAAAACTAGCTACGCATTACGAAAAGAATACGCAAAAAAAAATATTATTTTCCGTGTGTAATATTGGCCGGTTTTGAGCGGGAATAACAATTATTAATTGTGTTTTATTATCAATTTTCTCCTAAATGTCTAATTAAATGATCAAATTAATGTTTTCAAAGATTAATAAAGACATTCATTAATTGTGTCTACATAAATAAATATGATTAAATATTTCAATGCATTGTCACCCCACTGAGAGAACAATTTGTTAGTACTAACAAAAATTTATTTAAATTTTACCAATAACGGTGTTGGATATTGCCTAATCTATATAATTTTAATACTAACAAGTTGTTTATTGTGTTTTTTCCAATACATATTTTCTAATTAATAATCAATTATTTTTTTTTTAGAAACAACTATTTATTAATTATTTGTTTTTAGGTATACTGGTGTGTATTCATTCGGGGCACCAATTTTAATGATAAGAGATCCAGATCTGCTCAAAGATATTACAGTTAAAAATTTCGATCACTTTCCAGATCATACTAATATTATTTCAGAAGTTGCCGAGCCCTTGTGGGCAAAAAATCTATTTGCATTAAAAGGTAATAATTCATAATAGATATTATTTGTTCATTTATGGCTATGCGATTTTGACTAATTCTGAGTCAGTAATTTTGTACATGAGCTATGAATACTTCAGTGGCGTACGCCCTTTCCAAAATAAAAATTTAAAATTTAATTTTTTTATTCATAGGCATTTGTTCAAAATAATATTTAAATACATTCTAGGAGTTTAAAGGGTAATGTTTTAATACACACCTGGTGTTTAAATAAGAAATGATGCCCGCTGTCTGCGACTCTAGGATACATTCTAACACTCAAAAACTATGCTACTTGAAATTTTAAACGTAAAAGTGGTTAAAACAAATCACTGAAAATTATTTTTAAGTTTATATCTTCGCTAATAGATAGCGCAATACTTATGACCAATTATAAATAGATCTTTAGCTCCTTTTTAACTCATTTAAATTATACTCTTGTCCTGTTAATTATTTTTTTATATTCTTTATTTTAATTTCAAAGTTTTTATAAACTATTCTCAATAAAACTTTTTACAGTCCTTTTGTTTAAATCATTCAAACCTCTCTGATAACTCTCAACCGTTCTGACAATAATTCTCTTCCCAAACTACTGATTTTTATTTTCAAATTCCATTTTCAAGAATTTAAAAACAACAGTATTAATAAACGTTATTTTGACCACGACGTACAATTTTGCCCCTCAGAAATATCTATGATATAAATAATTCAATAAAAGAATTAAAGATTAATATAGTTATTAAACAATAATATGTATATACAAGATAGCGAAAAAGTCTGAGAACAATTTTGTTTGAAACGAATGAATGTATAATTATAAAACTAGGGTGATAAATGAAACTATATCTTGCAATTTTAAAAGCAATGTCAAATGTATGTGACGTCAGCGTTTAGCGTACCCTCGCCATCTTGAATTTTTTAACGACAACGTAGGTTAAATGATATATTAGAGAAAAGCTTATTTTCTCCCCTTTTTAAGAGTACTAAAAATTATTACATTACTAACGAAAACCCCTATGATATTGCAGTTCTATTAATCTACTCTTATTTATTACTATTCTTGGTTTATCACTGGTATAGTCTGAATAAACGAGGAGTGCAGTAAAAGAAGGGATTTTACGTCAAATTCCATAGGCGTATTTTGCAAATTAAGTTTCTATAATATAAATAAGGTCACAGCATATAAAATGGAACATACGTACTTCGTAGATTAAATTTTGAATGAAGAAAGTTATATTATTTACAGAAAATAAAAATAAACCTTATTCTTCTGACAAAATTGTTGCACTTTAACATTGAACGAATTAAATTTAACCAATAAATAATTCGTGTTGTTAGTAGGATAAAACTTTTTTAATCTCTTGGCATTAAAAGTACTTAGAAACAAAGATTTAAAAAAATAAAAAGTTCAAGAACTCTCTTTAAAAGTCTTCACTATAACTACTGGTATCATAATCATTGCCTTTTCTGAGGTTTTTTGTTATTATAGGGTCTATTAAGTTGTCCATTGCTATATCCATTTTTCAAAATAAATTTTCCACTTTTTTAACATGATAAATGCATTTTGTCCAGTTTGTTTTTATATTGCCTTGATATTACAAGTAATTCTACCCTCAATTATTTAAGAGGACTAATAATATTTTTAGAATTAAGCCATTTTGAAATATCTTCTTTCCTCTATCTTGTTGTAGGTAGGACTCCTGATAAAATTTATTATCTAAAACTTGACCATTCACTGTTGGGTTCTAATTAACTGTGCTGTTTCCAAAGTGGCTCTGCGAAACAGTAACAAAGCCTACAGAGAACACGAGAAGCCGATGACACAAAAAAAAATAACGAGTTGGCTGGAATTTTTTTATAATGTTCTGAAATCAATTTTCAAAGATAGGGCCATCAATTTTTTCATGGTAGTCTTTTATTTTCTTTAACTCGAACATTAATAAACCATCTGGCAAACATCCATCAGTGCTTCCAATGTGGGTTACTGTTAAACGATTTCATTTTCTTGTTGGATTTTTCAAGTCACAAGAGACCCCTTCCATAAATGTTTGTTTTTTAGTTTTGATGGCGGTATATTGCCAAATTTTTGTACGTCCAGCATTAACCCATGTTTAAATACATTAAGTACGATATTTTGTTCTTATAAAGGTAATGCTTTATGTCCACTAGGTCCTTTACACATATTCATGCTTACAATATTTTCTAATGCACTCGCTATTTTTATATAACTGTAAAATTATAATATACACTAAAATAAAATTCTGATTCAATTAAAATACGATACGGCTATAAATAAATAAAGTCTTACTTACCTTTAAGAAAAAGTTTTATTAAAGTAAAAGCCATAGACATACGATTAAGTGTAAACGAAAACTTTTAATAGGCCGATCAGATGTATTAAAATTTTATTTAACTACAAATAAGCATTAAAGGATGAGGTTTAAATAAAATGTCTACCTCTTGAGGCTGGAGGCTGAATGCGTAAGCTGCATACAGAATTACTTTTAAGATATATGGACGTTTTCAGACATGGATACTTTTGCAACGGAGATTATATTATAGGCGCAGGATATTTTTCAAGGCTATTCTAAGTGCATCTAGTTTAATCGTTTAAACTGTATGGGAAAACATTATTTTAAAAATTTAAGTACAAAGTAAAATTTTAAAAATTGTGTTTGTTTATCCATTAAATAAGATGCACGTGAAGTATATGTTAAAATTATTTCACGAATAAAAAATTAGCTTAAAGTACAGCATTTTTATATTCTTCACCGTCTTTTCTACGCATGTTGTATGCCCAGTATTTTAATAATTAAGTAATATAATTTACAGATGCATTTGCGTCTAACTCGTACCATTCGTACATTTTTCTTGGTAAAACAACATGAATTGGTTCCAAATTGATTTATGACGTTTTGAAAGTATTAATTGAAATATTATTTCCTTTTCTACCCTATCCATCGAAAAGCCTCCAAACCCGTGTGTTTTGCAAATTGAAATATCTAAAGTATTCCTGTCGAAAATATCAAATAATAAAGTTGACAGCTATGTAAAACACTCAGGTTTGTTTAACGTTCCTGTGTACGAGATATACGATATTTGTACAAATTTTTAATATAGACGTCAAAAATTCTGATTAATTTGTTATAATTTTGCATAACTGTATACCAGAGTTGGGTAGTATTCGAATACTCGGTATTCTGAATCTTATTCAGAATACATTTGGCTGGTATTCGAATACTATTCGAATACATTTGTGTTTTCTGTATTCGGTATTCGACTGAATATTTTTTTAGTCAGTACTCGGTATTTTGGATTTAGAATACCATTTTTGAATCCTAGTATTCGAATACCACACTTTGTATTCGAATCCCGGTATTCGAATCTTGGTATTCGAATCCCGGTATTCGAATCCTGTTTCGAATACTGTTTGATTATTTCTATGAATATTACGATCTTTTTGAAATGTTGGTTTTGTTGAAGGCAAACGGGATAGGAAATGCTTTTTGATTGATGTCTTCTTTCTGATATCCAAGTACTAGTGCGACTTTATGAATGTTATATTATATTTTATTTAAAACAAAAATAATTTATTTTAAGTTATTTATTATTTAAGATTATTTTTCAAGGATAGCTTCTTTTGCTAAGCAATTCTATTGTGTTACCTTATTGTGTTCGAATTTCCAATGAATGTACCAAAGAAACTATTTTAAGTTTTATTTATTATACAGAGTGTCCCACGAGATACGCCTCGGACCATAACTCCATAACGGTGCAATTTTCAAAAATTTTGTAAGTGTCCTTTTTTATGTATATTCAAAAAAGCCATCTTTTAAAATTAGTTTTCAAAAATTGCACCGGTATGGAGTTATGGTCCGAGGCGTATCTCGTGGGACACTCTGTATAAGTAAGTAGGTTGTAGGGTATAGGTTATAGGTAATGGGAATTGTTTATTTTTTATTAAACAATAAGTTTGTGTTTTTATCTGACGGTGTACCAAAGAATTTTATTTTAAATTTTTCATTATTTTATCGTTATTTATATTTTTTTAATGAAACTTTAAGAAATAAAAATCAGCAAATGTTTTTTATTAAACAGTTGTTTTATTTAACCTCACTGTGACACTATGTATCAAAAAATGATATTTCAAATTTTATTTAACATAGATTTTTAATTCTTTTTATATTTTTATAAATTAACTACATAAATAATAATCAAGCTTTATGTGCGCAAATGTTATTTGTAGTTGGAATATTCATAAAGTATTCATATGTAAATGAATCCAGGTATTCGAATACAGCGGTATTCAAATACTTTTTTTTTTCTTTGTATTCGAATATTGATTATTCGAATACAATTTAGAATACAGTATTCAGGATTCGTATTCGAATACCGGATTTCAGTATTCGACCCAACTCTGCTGTATACAGTATAACTATGAAGTAGTGATGGAGAATATAGTTTTTGACAAAGAAAAATTTTAGTTTAGTTGAGTCTCTAATCCCTGTTTACGGGATCCAGGACACAGGTATTACTTTTCTTTATACACATTGTTTTATATGAAGTGCGCATCATTTTGAATTTTTCTGTCTAAATGATGTAGATACATTTTGACTTTACCATTATTTGTTGCTTCAAAAATAATAAGCAATAACGTGCAAACGGAAAATCACGTGACTTTTGTAAATGTCAAATTTGACCTTTTTTGTAAAAAATGCAAAAAAACCTATGCCTGAAAAAAGTTGCTTATTTTTTACCAATATACCAATTTTCAATTTTCAACGTTTTTTTATTTTTTCTACTATTTCATTTTTAGGTTACTGAAAATAAAACTAACCTGCAAAAAATATTCTGTTTACGCGATGCATTTCTTTTATATGTTTTTCTGTTAAAAAATATTTTATACAAGTTGCTTAAATTCCCGTAACCCGTAACTGAATTGGAAGAAAACAAAACCTTGAAACCTTGGTGTATTCCTCTGCTGTTGATACTAGGGAGGAACTTTTACAGAGAATTACATTTCATTGTGATGTGATAAGGAACAATGTTTGTTGTGACGAGTACAGCAGTCCTCTATTCGTCCAGCCCGCGAGTGTATTAGAGTTCACGGAGCACATGTTGAACCCACTTATAATGTTTTTAATTGATTATTTCTAATTTAGGTAATAAAACATTAATGCTTTTATTTTTTTTTCTCGAAAACGGTTTTAGCGACAATGTTGAATATATCCAAATTTATTTTTTCCTCCTTATCATACAGGATTTTAAAAATGTAAGCAATAAAATGTACAACCTAGTCCGTCCATGGTAAACTAAACAAGATAATTATGTTTTTAGAGCAGTATTTTAAAAAGTTTTTGCTACTGTTTATCATATTAAATTTTCATTAAGTTATATTACGTAGTTTAAAAGTTATTTAAGAAAAATTGATTTCCAGTGGTGTCCTTTTGGAGGCCGAATCCCCGTAGGCAAGGCCGCGAGGAAAAAAAATTATGGGAACTTGTCATCTCATTTTTTAATGTTCTTTCTGAATCCGACAGACCTCCCACATTTTTCCGGACACCCTGTATATATATTTTTTTATACCTGATTGAGGCTTTGCCGAAGTCATACACCGGCTGTTTTGGTTGTTCATTTTTTTGTTCAGGCTTTGAATCAAGATATGAGGGTGGGCGTTGAAATAATTATTTATTTTCATTTTTGTGTTATTTTAAACTAAATATATGTGTCACCGTTATTCTGGCATATTACTGAGGTTGTGTAGTACTAATTTTCTTTATTTACTCCCTCCTTACTATTTAGCTAGTAAAAAATTCTTTGCAATCGCATGCAATGATTAAAGCCCGTTGCTTAAGACTACTTATTACCTGTGTCTAAGGGCCATTTGCACCGCTAGTAATTAGGAAGTTAGTGAAGCTTAAAATGAAATTGTCAATATAAAAATGTAGTTTTAAGCTCGGCCTATTTTTTAACGACCTGTAGTGCAAAAGGACTTAAGTGATCTTTCCTCTGGAATTTTTGCCCGAGTACTTTCGACGCTGCTTCACGAGATTGTGGAATGAACAACATTAAATAATCTGGCACCCAAGAGCCGTTTGTAAAAGACGTCACTCGTAAGTGACCGTTTTTTCTGCAGGAAAAACTTCTTACAGTTTTAAAGAAAATACCTTTTTCCAGATTTTTCTCTATCCTATATAACAAAAAAAAAAAGATCGAGATAAGGTAGATGTTTTGGCTCGCCGTTTTACATGAATAATTTTTATTCAAACTAAAATTTTAAATTTATTTAGGTCAAAGATGGCGTGACATGAGGCCAATTCTTAGTCCATCGTTCACTAGCAGCAAGATGAGATCGATGTTCGTATTAATTTCTGAATGTGCACAAAACTTCTCTCATTATTATTTAAAGAAAGATGAACAAATAATTGAAGTAGAATTGAAAGATAGTTTTACGCGATTTACCAACGACGTTATAGCTACAGCTGCATTTGGTATCAAAACAGATTCATTAGAAAATAAGGAAAACCAGTTCTATGTAATGGGAAAAGCATTGACCAGCTTTGCGACAGGATTTTTTAATGCATTCAAACTAGTTTTGTTAATACTATTTCCCAAGGTGTTTGAGGTAAGTTAATGTAAGAGAAATTATTAGTATATAGGCCGTTTTTTTTGAATTAAAAAATATTCATTTAACATAAATAAATATTTATTTCCTATTAGTTAAAATAATATTTATTTGATAACTTTTATGGATTTGTTTGCCATGTTTTTCCATAATTAATTTGAGGTAAATAAATAATTTTTAAATTATATTCAACTATTAGTCAAAATCGAAGAAATATTTGTCCTAGTTACTTACTAGAAAAATTAAACAATTAATTATTTTCTTTGGTTTTAATTCAATGCCTGTTATGGTACTAGGCAAAAGAGTAGTTATTTTCTGGAAGAAAACGATCGCTTGTATTTTTTTGTTACACATGGCTCCAGTTTTAATTAAAAAAAGTAGTTTAAGAATTACTAAATGTTATCGTCGAAATAAAGAATCAGAAAAAACAGTAGAGCCATCAATTTTTTTTTTAACAAACAGTAGTAAGCTATTAAATAAAATAAAATATAGACAGGGTGTTTCAGATTTAAACGGACAAAGCTTAATCAGAGGTAGAGTACACTTATCTGAGTTTAAAACATCCCCATACTTAACCTTTAATCTTACTCATTTCTGAGATATAGGGTGTTTTATGATTTTTTGTTAAAACTAAAAGCGGCTATTTTGTTTGAACGGCTACATATATTTGGATAAATTTTGTACAAAAGTTACACTCTCTTAGGTTAATCAAAAACCATAATTGATTTTTTTAAATTCCAGGACTGGACTCTCTTTTTTTATATTGCTCTTCTTAGCTAGAATATCACCCTGTATATCGGATTTTAATAGTACAGTTCATCAAATTTCTAGAGGCTTTCGACGGCTAGACAGAGAAAGCACTACTGAGAGGCATCGGTTGGCGGGTCCGACGGATTTACGCAATGAAAGTACACTCTGCGCATCAAGTATTTCACTATTTTATTCAGACGTAAATGTCAGATGTAAATTTCGCTAAAACATTTCTTTTATTTTCGTTTGTGTTTTTTGCTCATTACAGTTTAATAGAACCTAAGTATGGAGTTTAATAGCAAATTAAGAGGCCGCGTGAATAACAGTCAATCTCGCGAAATAATAGCCAATGTTATAGAGTTTATGAGAAGAGAAGGAAACTTTAATTCACCTTCAATACCATTTAAAAATGTAAATGATCGTGTTGCTGCAGCCACAGGAGTATCTAAAAACACTGTCGTCCGCATTTCTGGAGAGAAAAAAAGAATCGATAACCGTGAGATATCGGAATTTTCATCACCAAGAAAAACCATTAAAAAACCAAAAACAGTTATTGATATAGATGAAGCTGACAAAGGTATTTTAAAAAGAATTATTCTGTTCATGTTAATCTCGGAAAATATTGTTCCAACATTAAAAACAATTCTGAATAAATTTAGAGAAGCTACAGGGTACAAAGGAAGCTATGAAAGTTTAAGAAAAATAATAAAGTCGCTAGGATTTCGTTGGCGGAAAACAAAAACAAACAGAAAAATATTAATGGAAAGGTTTGATATTCAAAAGCTACGTTTAGACTATCTGATTCGTTTAAAAAGTTATCGAGCAGAGGGCCGTCCAATTGTCTACTTAGATGAAACATACATTCATGCCTCCCACACACACCAGAAAGCTTGGAGTGATAATTCAAATGAGGGATTAAAGAAACCAATTAATAAAGATCATAGACTAATTATTGTCCATGCAGGAGGTGAAATGGGCTTTATTCCGAATGCCCGGTTAATTTTCAAATCTGGAACCAAAAGTGGAGACTACCACGATGAAATGAATTTTAATAATTTTTCTAAATGGTTGAAAGAAAAGCTGTTTCCGAACCTCCCTCCAAGAAGCGTCATTATTGTTGATAATGCTCCTTACCATAATGTCCAGGTAAATAAAGCACCAACGTCAACTTCTAAAAAAGCTGACATGCAGGATTGGTTAAGGAATCATAATATTGCTTACGAAGAGGATATGCTCAAAACGCAATTATACAGTTTAGTGCTATTGCATAAGTCACGATTTAAGAGGTATGCAATTGAAGAAATGATAAATGAACATGGTTTTAGTTGTTTGCGTTTGCCACCGTATCATCCCGATCTTAATCCGATCGAATTAGTGTGGGCATCATTGAAACAATATGTAGCTAGTAACAACACTACATTTAAGAGGCAAGACGTACAACTGTTGTGTGAAAACTTTTTTGATACGTTTTCTAAAGAGGAGTGGCAATCTCGTTGTAATAATGCTAAAATGTGGGAATCTAAATTTTATGACAGAGAAGTTACTTTGGATGAGGCAACTGATAGATTTATAATTAACTTAAACAGTGACAGTGAGACTGATTTTGAATCTGATATGGAAACTGAAGAAAGTTTTTCGGAAGACCATTAAAATTATATCTGTACCTAAGATCAAAAAAGTATTATCTATTTTTACAACGAAGATGCACAAGAATAAAATTTTATTTTTTTATTATTAGATAGCCATTTTTGTTTCTGAGTTGTATTCATTTACAGGCTAAATTTTTTTCCGTTTCTGCTTTTTGATTTTATATGGGGTTTCAAGTTGTTTTTGACTTATTTCGACGTAAATCACAACAACACACTTTTTTAATAAAGCAAACAAGTGTTAAGAGGTATATGTACGTGTAAACTACAATTACAAAAAATTGATATGAAACCTATGAAACCACCAACAAAAATGTAAAGCTAGCTTCCGTACTAGAACATGGTGTCATTCGTCGAGATAATTTATCGTTTTGTTTAATAGATCAAGAAATGTAAATATTCCCCTGTTATTTTCTATAAAATTATAAGAGAAATAATTTTTTTTTCTAAATAGTATATTTTATTATTTTGTAAAAAAACAAAATTTCGAAAATTTTAGTAATGTTTCAGAAACAACCGTTATTAATAATAAGTACCATTTTCCTTAATAAGGTAGAAATAAAATATAAACTATTTCCACGATTTACAAAGGCCTACAAAAAAATTATAGGTATTTTCCGCTATCCTATAAAATTTATATTTTCTTACTCAATTTCAAAAGGTTGAAGGAATTCCAAAACACCTTTTATGGCATAATAATAATTTTCAATTCTACATACTATCTTTAGCTGCTTTTAAAAACGTTCTAAGAAAGTCCAATCAGACCAATTAATCCCTAAACTATTCCACACCTTTAAAATTTAATTACCTAAAAATATTAAAAACTATTTAAAATAACTTGTTTAGCAGACTGTACAATAGCTATCTTAGTCACACGTAGCGCGTTCTCTGTCTGGGCGTCGAACACCTCTAGAAATTTGATGAACTGTACGTAGATCAATAAATAAAACAATGTAATGATATTTAATGGCACCACCTTGATTTTCATACAGTAAATTTTTATAATGGCGACTACAATAATATAAATCAGTATTTACAAAATTGAAATCAAATATTTCACTCTGTATTTTTAAAACTCTACACAAATTAGGTACCATCTACATTTATTTTTAACTACTGAATTTTCCAATAAGAAATTGAACATCTACACAGGACCGGGCTCACTTTATTTGATAAAGTAACAAAACTAACAGAAACAAATAATTAATTAAAACTAAAGCAGATTTTCAAAATGAACACCGTGAACGTGAATACACCTTTTGCGAACGTTGTAACAGGTTTTTCACTATTTGTCAATTATTTCCGGTTTATTTCTTATGTTGTTACATACATTATTAATTTTTTGCAATAACTGTGCTGGGGTATTAATTTCTTCGTTGTACACCTCTTTTTTAAGGTAGCTCCATAAAAAATAATCCAGAGGTGGTATATCTTAGATCTTAGTGGCCAATTGACGGGGCGCCGCGACCTATCCATCTATTTGGGAAACGATGATTTAAATGGTATCTGACCAGTATTCTAAAATGAGGTCCAGCACCATCGTGTTGAAACTACATTCCTCTGGTATTAATCCATTCTAACAAATATGGCAGGATGTCTCTGAGGAAATTTGAATAAACTTCAGCTGTTAATCTGCCTTCAAAAACATGAGGGCCTATTAAATGATTTTTATAAATACCACACCATAAATTTATAGAAAAATCTATATTGGGAATATGACTATTCCTAGTGTTATTGATCCCATCACATGTAAATTGGGATTCATCAGTAAATAAAATACTCGACATTATCCTTCTGTGGGCCAAAGTCCATCTACAAAAAGATAAAAGCGGGGTACGTCGTCTGCTTGTTCAAGTCGCTGTACTTTTTGTACATTAAATGGATTCAAATTTTGTTTTTTGTTAAGTTTTCCATGCTCTTGTTATCGGTACTGCTAATTCATTACTAATTCTTCTTACACTGATAGAAGGATTATTTCGAGTTGTCTATAGTATCTCCTCTTCTTGTCGAAGATTATTTCTTGGAGCACGTTCATGTTTAACTGTAGTTGGAAACTTTCCATGTTGCTTACTGAATTTGAAAACCTACGAAAATGTCTTTAGAATTTTGTAAACGGCGATTAGAAAAGCGTCTGTGATACTCTCTTACTGCTGCTCTACCGTTTCCATTACAAAAACCGAACACAAAAATAATGTCTGCATATTCTTTATTACTATTTTCATACCATCAGAAACTTACACTTATGAACAATAGTTATTTATGCAACAAGTGCAAAAAGTAAGTGTTTATTGCACGCGACGTGAAATTATCCAACAAGGCTGTCAGGCCAAATTGGACAACACGTCGAGTGCAATAATCACTTTTTGCACGAGTTGCATACAATATGTTTTCTACGTTCATGCAAAACCAAAAAATGTTTTATAGAACTGCAGTTGTATTATCCAAATCATAGTAGTCGTGATCGTGTACCTTTGTCGTGTCATTTATTTACGTTTGTGTTCATAATTTGTAATGACATTTTTAATAAAATACATTTTTTTATTAATTTATTTAATAAATTGAAAATAATATAAAATATGCAATTGTTTTTAAAACGTAACACAGAAAATGAAAATGGACTAAATATTTGGCGTTGATTTGAATATTTATGTTTGTCATGATCATACAACGCTGTAGTAAAATGACAGATGAGTGCAATAAAATTTTTATTGCACTAGTGCAATAAAGAACCAGTTTTTTCACTAAATATAGTTCAATAAAGTTTTGTTTTTTGCATGAACGTAGAAAAAAGTAATTTAGCTGAAAATACTGTAATAAAATAAGTGATATTATTTGACACAAGCCTACTGGTATTTTACAATTTTACATTAATCATGTTTAGGACAGAATAAGTGATGGTGTAATTTGGCGCATATTGGCAATTGACTAAATTGAATTTTCATGCGGTTTATAAAATACCTTGTTGTTTGAACTTTTAAATTTGATTTCATCAGAGTTTTAGTTCATTTTAATTTCCAGATATAATTACCTAAAGATGAACGTGGAGAGAGGAATGAAAAAGGTGGTTTGAAATCTTCTTACTGTTAGTGTAGGAATTAGTAATGAATCAGCAGTACCTAGGTACCAGAAACAAGTGTATGGAGAACTTAAAAATAATTAAATTTGTATCTATTTTATGTATAAAAAGTATAGCGACTTAAACACACATAAAATGTATGGTGTGGAATTTATAAAAAATCACTTTATACCCAAGCACAGTTATTAAAAAAAATTAACATTAAAAATAAACCGAAAATAATTGACAAATCATTAAAGAATCTGTTAAAACGTTTGCAGAGATATATTGACGTTCACGGTGTTCATTTTGAAAATCTACTTTAGTTTTAATTAATTATTTGTTTCTGTTAGTTTGTTGTATTACTTTATTAATTAAAGTGAGCCCGGTCCTTTGTGGATGATCAATTTCCTAATGGAAAATGCTGTAGTTAAAAAAAATTAAGATAGTACCTAATTTGTGCAGAGTTTTAAAAGTACAGAGTAAAATATTTGATTTTAATATTGTAAATACTGATTTATAATATTGTAGTCGCCTTTATAAAAATTTACTGTAAGAAAATGAATCATTTTATTTATTGATCAATGTACTATTTATTCATTAAAATCCGATATACAGGGTGATATTCTAGCTAATAAGAGCAATATAAAGAAAGAGTACGGTCCTGAAATTTTTTAAAATTAAATTATTGTTTTAATTAACCTAAGAGAGTGTTAGTTTTGTACAAAACATAGTCGCTCAAACAAAATGGCCGATTTTAGTTTTGGCAAAAAATCCTAAAACAACCTATATCTTAGAAACAAGTAAGGGTAAAAGCTAAGTATGGGAGTGTGAACTCAACTAAGTGTACTCTATCTCCCAATAAACTGTGTCCGTTTAAATCTGAAACACCCTGTATATCATAATCCGTTAAGTATTAATCAAGTTTCTTGAATCATTTTTAGATTTTTCAAATAGGAATATTTAAGAAAGAAGTAACCACATTCTTCATAGATTTAATAGACAGTACCGTGAAAACTCGAAAAGAAAAGAAAATAGTACGTCCAGATATGATACATTTATTAATGGAGGCTCAAAAAGGATTGGAAAGTAAAGAAGTTCAAGTTGAAGATAATAGTTTTGCTGCTCAAACTGAAGCTGATTTAGGTAACTAATAAGAATTTTACAAAGTTTTTTGGTTGTTTTGAGTAATTATACGATATCGATAACATAAATATAATAGTGCAACTAGTTTTGGGAACTAATGATGGGAAGTCACGGTTCGTTTTGACGACCCGGGTCAATAAATCACCCGTTTACAAAGATTCGTTTATATGAACGATATAATGAATGTGGATTTGCACAATACGCACTGATGGTGGTAAGACCCAGCTCTTTTTATGTAGTGAAATCCGGTTCATACTCGGATATGGTTACTCTCATTCGATACAGATTAACTTATTTATGATTATGACTGGGAACTATGATGATGAGGTGATTTGATTTATTGTATTTTTATTTAGTTTTTGCAATAAATAAAAACATCATTACATATTTATTCATATGACTATATTCTGTTCAGTTACAAATAAATCTGTTAACAATATCTTTTCATTTCATTCAAGTCATATAAGGGCATAAATCTTACAAATCATTTGGGTCCTATTAACGATATGGTCACAAAGAGTGATTAAATCGATCACGGGTCTTCAGAAAAATTCGATCTGTTTGAACGGGTTTCGTTCATGAATATTGTGAACATAAGATTTCTATAATTTAAAAAATAATCTATTATATACTATACAAACATTTCTTGGCATCGGCTGGATAAAAGTTTGGGCATTTTTATATATTATATAATATTAAAAATAATAGTACTCTCTCCCTAATTCACCCCCTTACGAGTGAATTGCAACCCCTGAAGTCGACTAAGCGACTTTTTTAAGGGAAGGGATGGTTATTATTATTAGTTGCTGTGGCGCTTCGGGACGACTTAAAGATGATTGATGGCGCCATTTGACTTACAGGTGAGAAAAACCCGGAAAACCCAACCAACCATCAGTATAACTAAAAATAACTGATTGTAATCTATTAACCGAAAATAGTGGCTGTCTTCATGTTAGAAACGAACTAGGCATTCCAAAAAAAAAAAAAATGGTTGTCGATAGAAAGGGTTGGTACATCTAAGGGGTTTTGACAGATGATGTCTTCTATCTACAACACGTGAAATCATAAATAATTAAATAAATTTAAATATTTTATGTCGAACATAATGAAAATATTATTTAAAAAAAACAGCTTATACATTTTTCATAAATTAGCAGATTCTGACGACTACTATATTAAATAAAAATAGCGTTCAATATAAGAGACTATGTCACAACCTCCTTAGATATACGAGACCTTCACATCGATAGCCATTCTTTGACAGGATATTGAAATGCCTAATTAGACATTCTAAACAAAAAATCTGTCAGTGAAAAGTGTTGTTATATGTAAAGGGTTGCGACATACGATGTATTTTATCTACAGTACGTAAAATCATAAATAAGTGATTAAATTAAATATTTTATATCGAATTAAATAAAAATAATAATAATAATAGGAAACGCTCATAAGAAGCACATGCTTAACAACGACCAGCTTGAACGCAGTTAACATCTGACCTAATATGTGGCGCTTTCATTGATATCAAACAAATAACGCTGCAGGAAATTTAAAAACCTGATAAAGGTTTGTATAAATATCGATTGCACTTTGATGTTCTGGTAAATAAATTTAAACAATGTTAATTACGGTAAATTATTTATTAAAAAGAATACTACACTAATAGTCTATTATCCATTAATTATTGTAAATCTATTCATGACAATTATTTTAATTTTTGATTATTTGTAACTAATATAACATTTTTGTTCTTATTTTACAAATAAGTGGTCATTTGAAATTAATTTTTTAAAATTTTTACTCCAAACTCGATAATGGGAATTCAGATATTTTTCTTACTATAACAAATATTCTCTCCAACGTTTTGATGCTATTTTCTTGCTCTAAAACAATAAATAATAAATAAATACTTTGTGACAAAAGTTGGCTACTGTTTGTTACTGTTTGCTACTTACATAGCTAGATCTTACTTTGCTAAAAAAACGCCACATTGGAGTTGTTAAATTATTTATTCATCTAGTACACGATCTGGCATATGTGAGTAATGCAATACGTGCTCCGACTTAGTGTAATATTACAAAATATAATTAATGTCCTCAAATTCCACGCAAAAACAACCACAACTATTTCGCTTAGTTCACCTTACAATATAAACCATTATTGAACTCAAAATTTAAATTCAGTATTCTACGATACAGATACAACTAACTGACATATTTTTACAAACTGTCAACTGCAGTCTATGTCTACTCTTCGTCTACAAACGACCTGTACCTTTAGTTAACATCTGAGACGCGTAGATGATGCCATCTTTGCTGAGGTCATTGCGTTTCCTATCTTTATGTCCCTGATCTGTGATCATGGTGGAAGAAGATAGTGAGATGCTATCACTTAGTCTAAGACGGGTTTACTTCCGCCATATTGTATTCACAAATCCGTCAAACAACTAATCGTGGTTTAAGTCAACGTTTTTTAAATTTGGATATCGCTTATAAACTAAATATATTGTACCTATTAAAATTTAAACAATGATTGCTTGTGCTAAGCATAGCTGTTGTAGTAGCCTAACAGATATACACACGAAGAAATTATCTGAAATAACATTCCACAATTTAGTATACAACATAGTAAACAATATGCATAGTGGTATTTGGGAATATGAGATATTAATTGTGATTTGAGTGTTACAAGTGCATTTGGAATTTGCTATAGCTGGTGCAACAGATTTAAAAGAATGATAAATATTCTCTTTGATATAATTCTAGAAATTGATTTGAGTTTCATTATAAAAAGCCTTTGAATATAAATATTCTTTAAATATTAGTGCCCTAAAAACATACGTAGCTAGGGCGTGCGGTCCATGGAAGCGGGGGAAGCACCGCTTCCCTACATTTTGAGATTTAAAAATAAATATTTTTCAGTTTACAATGCATTGAAATTAATATTAAATTAGGTACTATATTTTCTCTGAAACATTACGTAAACTTCGTAAATGTACTAACAATTCATTGGTGTAATGTGTAAACGCACGCACCTTCCATGAGAAAATTAATTGTGTAAACGCACAGAACATATACTTCAAGTCCGTCGGCGGAAGCGCGTCTTGAAAAAGCCGGCTCATCTTCTAATTGATTTCGCTTCGTGTTATTGACCCTGCTTTGCCGCGACACTAGTCAGTCTGTTTGGGCACGTGAAATACGGTCGAGAGGCAGCGATTTTTACTTTGCCTTACGCATATTGCAATTCGTACTGCGAATCGACGTGTGAGGGAAATTGTAGACTTCAGATAGATTTCGGTTTGTTTTCATAGTTGTTTTTCTTTTTGTAAAATGGAGGAACTATGCACTGTGCCTGTGAACAATAATAATGTGGTAAATTGTGTCTGTATTGTATGCTCTTTATTGAAAAAAGGATTTTCAAGTAGAAAACGGACATTATTAATTCTAGTAGACTAAAGGATCCTATCAATTTAGAGACGAACGTAGAAAAGTCAGCAATTAAATTTACCAGACATTTTCACGTAGGGTTCTATGAAAAGCATGAATGGTTAACCGGCTGCAAAAATGTGAAGAAATTGTTTTGCTAGCCTTGCCTACTTTTTAATATAGCCGAAAAAACATATTGGAACTCAGTCGGTATTACAGACTTGAATAATTTTCACAAAAGTGTAAAACGACATGTAAATAGTTTGGACAATCATTTAAAAATAAGCAAGAAAATTTACAATGAAAGGTTAAAAAAAATAGGGTCGTCTTACAACGAATAATAGATGTAACTTGTTTTCTGGGAGAGCATAAACTAAGTTTTAGGAGCACAATAAAGCAAATGGATCCTCCAATCGAGGAAATTACATCGATCTTTTAAGTTTTTTAGCAAAATACGTTGATACCCTAAAAAATCATTTTATTGATGCGATGACTTTCCGAGGTACCTCAAACAGAATCCAAAATGATTTAATTAAATGCACTGCCGACGTTGTGATGGATCACATTAAAAGTGAAATTAAAAAAGTACCTTTCGTATCAATTGCGCTTGATGAAACCACAGATGTAGCAAACTGAAGTCAATTATCCATTGTTGTGCGATATGTATTGGATGGCATTCCTCAAGAGCGATTCTAAGGATTTTTGGACGTCACTAGCAAACGAACTGCAGATGTATTGTATAAAATTGTTTGTGACAATTTTTCAAGCTTAGAATGCGGTTCTAAGCTTGTTGCCCAGAGCTACGATGGTGCTGCCGTAATGGCTGGCCATTTAGGAGCCTTTAAGCTAAAGTGAAAGAGAAGTTTAAATACGCAATTTTCGTTCACTGTATAGCACATAGACTTAATTTGGTTTTATCGCGAAGCATAGATAATATTAAAGATTGAAAAGTTTTCTTTTAGACGCTTAGTGGTTTGGCTTCCTTTTTTTCAAAGTCATCGAAAAGATCTCGCGCTTTGGACATTCACGTTTAAAAAAGGTTTCCAAAAGTGGCTTCGACGCGATGGAACTACAATGTACGTTAAGTGCAGTGTTTCAATACCATGATTCTTTGATACACTTTTTTTAAGACGTTTTGGGATAATAAAGAAACATGGGATGCTTAAACTGTTACTGCTGCTAAAGGGTATTTGCATTGGCTCAAACAAAACTTTGATTTCAATTTTTTGCTCAACATTTTTGCAGAGATTTTCCTTTTTACTAATATTTTATTCGACATTTTACAGACAAAGTCAAATGACATTGGCTTTTGCATTAAACAAATTAATGATTTTAAAAATAAAATGAATAAAAAACGAGATAAGTTTGAATACTTTTGGAATAAGACTCAAAACATTGGCTTAGAACCTGAAAGAGAGAATTAGAATGAACTCTCGATTTCAAAACTTTAACGAATTTAAATTTGTTGGAAGCTTTTAATTCACTACAATTAAATTATGGAAATATTTTCGATATTCCAGCATTAAAGTCTCAGTTGAGTATTGTTTATGAAACAGTTGAAATTAGTAATAAAAA